ATTCTAACATATTTTATATCTGGAAATGTGAGTCAGTGTGATTACTTTATCAGTTTACTATTGAAATTCAATAGTCATGTACTTATTTACTAAGCATTAGAGATTTAATGATATAATATGAAGGCATATAAAAAAAAAACAATTCAATAGAAATCCGTCCATAGAAAATAGCACCAATGAAGTGAGAGACGCACTCATAAGTCACAGACACATAACTTGGTAGCTGGATTGACACAGCGTCAGTACATGATACTAAAGGGAAGGGGTTGTTAGTAATAGGGTGTAACTACCTCATTGCTAATAATAAGCTCTAGGAGGTCGACCTCCACGCGGTTCCCCTTGAAAACTAGCATTTGATTATTGCTGAAATTGCCACGAATGGCCAACTGACATGCTTCATCCTCACCAACCATCTCTCACTGCCAACGTATACCGACAGAGCAGGTGGAGGCACCATCTTTATATCCCATTAAAAAAATATATGTGATATTGAATATATTTTGTCACTATACGATTTTGATTTTACTGTATGTTAAGTTCCAAATTTTTCGCTTTTTTTTTATCATACCTTAGAATTATACCATGCAAGATAAACGATTATCTTCATATCAGCCTTTGCCACGCTTGGCAGGCAGATTGGCAACCGCAGTTAGGCTTTAGAGATGTTTCAAGAGGAACGCTGTTACCCATATTTCGCCCTTCTTTAGTCGCTTCTTACGACACCCACGAGAAAGAAAGGAGCGACCATCTATGTTGAGACCACACTGCAAGATAATCAAATCAGATCAAATCAAATCAAATCATATTTATTCGCTTGCTACATGGTACAATAAGACGTTACATACATATACAGGCACATAACATGCAGCACCCCGCAGAGGTATGCAAATGTTCGTAAATGTTCAAATCGTTTAATAAATGCTAATTATTTTATTTACTTTCTGTAGACTTTTTTAAAATATTGATTATACAATTAGCATACTAACGAAGATTATTCTCAAGGTATGGAATGACAATAATTTATATCTCGTTCATTCATAGTGAAAAGCCGGCTAAACGTTGAAATAACACCAAGTTTAAATTGTCAAAATGCTTGAATTGTATTATGGAAATTAATAAACGGAGATTATCCAACAAACTAGGGTTTTAGCTTACAGCAGCGGGGTCAGATCGTTTGGAAACATTCCAGGCAGGTAAGCCGCTGTTATGTATGAAAATAATATGCTAAAGTCGGCGTCAATATACTTACTCACTTACTTCAGGAGTTTTACCTGATTAGCATTTTTTTATAGATGATAATGGAAGTAACTCCGCCTGGTCTATCGGTATCCACTGGCGAGACATTAGTGACAGAGGACAGATGAAGATGAAGTAAGGTCGGTTGGTCCGACTTGACAAATCACCAGGAGATGACAATGATTGCCATGATGGCTTCTGAAGGGTTTTACTTGAAGATTGATCTGATAACGTGCTAAGTACGTTAAAATCCTTAAAATCTCTTTTTCTGATTATAATACTTTATTTGACAGGAATAAGGCTTATATTTTTAGATAACTAAGGTAATCCATCATCATCATCTCAGCCATTATCCGTCCGCTGCAGAATATAGACCTTCATAGATTGTCATAATGATAAAACCCCCTCAATGGTAAGGTTATCCTCGTGGAAGAATAATTATTTTAGAGGATATTGAACTAAGGTAAAGAAGATATTATTCTTTGTTGAATTTCCAGTTAGTTATCCAGAGTTCTCACAGCAACAAGCACACTAATGACAATACAGCGCTGATGTCTGAAACTCCCGAAAACTTGAAAACTTTCTAAGTAAATAGTTCGGGGCTTTCGGCACAGTTGGAAACTGCCTGCACATCCCAGGTAACGGGACTCGTATATGACTATTTTCCGTTAGCAAATATAAAATAAAAATATACTTAGATACAATCCTTTTGGATTTAAAATCGTCCCACTCCGGATTCGCTCGCTACGTGAAACGAAACGCAAACGGTCTGGAGACATTACCCGCGTACATTATAGGATAACGGCCCACCCACCAACTGTGACTGGCCATTTTCTTTAATTCCTTACAGTATAATGCCTCTGTTGTTATTATATTGTATACGTATATATAAAAATAAAACTTAACTAATTAATATATCTAATAATGTTATATCAAGTATATAATATTACGTGCCATATCTTAATTGTGGAACGATTCACGGCGAGATTCAATACTGACCTCAAGAATGATATGAATAGAAGCAAACAGCACGGTATCATACTTTATGGTGAAATATGAGAAGATCTATGTTCAACACTGGGTGATAGAGGGATTATTATAATAATGATGATGATACGATATGTCCAGGTACATACCAGAGGGAGACTGTACAAAAGTAGTTTGCTTCTGTCCCATTTGTGTTTCTATCGTGAAGCAGTTGTGTTTGCATGATTGTGCTTCGGTTTAAAAGGGTGAGATATGGCAGTGAATTCACAGGATACAAATGAATAATACCTGAGTCTTTAAAAATGGCAACGCATAGAGGGTATCAGGAGTGAAAAAGTATACCGTTACGTCCATAGTACTGCTCATGTCTATAGGCGACGGTTACCATTTTCCATCGGGTGGGCCATCAGCATGTTTGCTATTACTAAGCTGCATATAAAAAAAGGTAGACTTATTTATTTGAGTAACTTTTCCCAACTGAAGTTTGTCGCCAATTGCGAATGCGAGTTAGAATTTATTTAGTTCGAAAGAATATGATAGTGAAATTGTAGGAGACGGATGTACAATATCTTAATCCTCATGAATTGTAGCGAATCGATGTCACAGTATATCTTGTAGAAGATCTTATTAATATAATGTAATTTTATTTAGACGATGTATATACATGGGGAATATTTAAGAACACTTAATATGAGGGATGTTAATAAACGTATTAGAACCTAAAATAATATTTTTTTATAAATATTGTCTACCTGTATGTTTATTTTAACTTCACGCAAAAACTACTACTCCGAATTGGATGCAGTTTTCACAGTTAAATTCCTGAAAATGTAACTTAAATATTAGTGTATTTTATCTTAATACATCACTCTTAAGTAATTTATTTAATTTTTTTTTACTTCTGAAATACACGCGTAAAAAGTAGTAGGCAAAAATCTAGTATAAAATATTTCCGTGGCATTAATTTACGGTTTTGGAGTTTAATTTATCATGCAGTTAATCGAACTTCCGCCTGAAATAAAAATTGTTTCACATAAAAATCTATTAGGATACTTGATACGACACGACGAACTTATATATATTCTTTATTGCACTAAAACATACAGTAACAACAATAATTTGATAACAATGTTAGCAAAGGCGAACTTATTTCTAAAAGAGATTTCTTGCAGTCAATCTAACACAGTGGCATAGGACATAGTAGTGCAAAATAGAATTTGAAATATTTACATAAAATAATGAATACATTACATAAATAATATGAACATTATAATAGAAGGTAAGATAGAAGGAAGGATGGGAAGTGGGAGATCAAGACATAGTTACATCAGGCAGATCAAGGGAAAAGTTGGTGTCGTGTCGTATCAAGTGGTGAAAAGACTCGCAGAGAATCGTAGTGAGTGGCAAGAGCTTCACCGACAAGAGCGCAGCTCTTAAATAGGATAGATAGATAGATAGATAAAATCTGAATGGATGACAGTCTCCACCAGATGGAGACTTTGTAGTCATGTAAGTAAATACTTCTTTGTGTATTTTTACTATCAAGTAGTCATGCAAATTTGATGAGAGATATGGAGAGACTGCCTTCCTTCACATTTGTGTACATACCTACATCTACAAGTATTTCTTTATTTAAATTATTATTATAAAAACTTTTGAAATGTAAAGTGGTTTTTATGTTACTATAAAAAAATACTCCATTGTTGTATTTCACCAAACAGAATTATAATATTTTTTTATCAGCTCTGTTTAATTATGTTATGTTATGTTGGAACTAAATCCTATTATTTCTTTTTGTTGTTTTCCACTAACAGAACCGGGTATAGGATTTTTTTAGATGAAGTAAAACTAAGTCGTAGAATTTCAGGTACAATTCAGGTGCATAATTGTATAATCCTCAGGAATGTGAATGCATAAAGTCTGTGAATGCATCATGAGTGAATTCTCTGATAATAAGTACCAGTTACGAGTAGGTACATATCATATTCCATTTTGTTTTTCAATAAATGAAGTTGGAATGTGCATCAATTTTTACGCTAACGATATACAACTGAAACTAGTGATGAATGGAACTATTAGGATGAAGTCAATTGATTCATTCGCGACGGTTTCCAGGGGGAACTGCGCGGAGGTGGATCTGATAGCGTATTGTTTTTATCTCTATTATTAACAATCTTTTCCTCTTACCATTTTTTTTTTGTTTTTTTTTTCCAATCCAAGGGCTTCTAATATATTTACATACTAGTGATCCGACCCGGCTTCGCATGAGTAGATAGAATTTTCGAAAATTAATACTTGCAATACCGTCGGTGTTGTGGGCGATCACGGGCGGCGGTAGTCACTTACCATCAGGCGAGCCGTATGCTCGTTTGCCCCCTGTGTTGTAAAAAAAAAACAAAATATTTCAAGGTTTCAACAGATCGGTTGTTTTATAGAATTTTATACATGATTCTTTAGATTGGTATACCTTTTTTTTATTTATGGATCAATTGAAATCAAATAAACACTAAATGTTAAGTGGAGCAAACCAGAATGCATTAGTGAAAACCGCATTCAAATCGTTTAAGCCGTTTCTGAGATTAACGTGCACAAACAAACAGACAGAAATTCTAATAATACCTGTTTTGGGTTCTATTACGTTCATAAAGCCTTTATATATAGTTAATTCGTTTATATTTAGCTTCTGTGGTTTCCTCGTCGATATACTGTATCTATTTAAGGATATTTTAATTAGAATACTATAGTTCAATTATGGGTCAAGTTAAATGAAAAAAATGTTGGGTATGTATTTCATAATTTTATTTACTCATTCTTTATTTTTTGCTTATTATAAAAAATCATACAAAAAAAAATACACAAAGAATACACAAACAAAAACTAAAATGTATTTAATTACATATAAAGATACTATTTCATTTTATTTCATTTCATTGCATTTCATTTTATTTAATTTTATTTCATTTAATAGTACTTATTAAATGATACAAATTAAATTAAAATACCTGCTTTAAACAAATAACTTATATAATAGAATTATTTATATAAAACTTTTATTATATTTTTTTTTTTTATTTCACAACCGATATATGGTAATAGAACTCTAATAGACACCATACAAGTAGATATCTATTTGCTTGTTTAATATATACTCCTCGCTGATTTAATTATATATGATTTGATATTTGTACTAGTACAAAATTTTAATCTGATTGTTCAATTAATGTAAATAGCAGAACATTTATTTGCACATTTTTCGGCGTCTGTGGCGCCCTCTTCCTTCAGAATTTTATATGGTTGCTTCAGGCAATCATTATTTGTGGTAGGCAATAACTTACGAGTCACATTCCTTATCTGTCGTGTATATAAGAAAATGATAATAATGCAGAGAGCTGAAATAACTGAAACAATTATAATAATCATTATCATAGATACTTGAAAATCAATGTAATAAATACTTAACTTAGAGGAGATTTTTTTTTTATACAACTTTAAATGGCAAACAAGCTGACGGCCCGCCTGATGGAAAGTGGTAACCGTCGCCTATAGACATGAGCAGTACCATAGACATAATAGAGTATACTGTTTCGCCCATGATACATCCCATGCGTTGCCATTCCTGAGGACTCAGGTGTTATTCCTCTGTACCCTGTAAATATATCCATGCCATATCCCACTCTTCCTTCGAACCGAACCACAGCCATACAAACACAACTGCTTCACGGTTGAAACACGGATGGGACAGAGGTACCCAAGCAAACGACTTTTGTACAAAGTCTCCCTCTGGTGGTATTACTAGCAATATCTATATATTGTAGTTAGAATATCTATGTATTGACCCAATAATGGATATATTAAATATTGATTATCCAATATATTGTTATAAAAGAACCGATGGAAATTAATAGTTATCCGACCGCTACGAACAATATCTAAATGGTTGGTAACCTTCTTCTACTGGGGGGAAGGGGCTGTTACTAATAAGTAGGTTAGCCCCCATTGCTTGATAGCACAATATATCCTAACAGGTCGACCTCCACGCGGTTCCCTCTAGAAACTATCGATGATGATGAAACAGGTAAGTTGGTCCATCGTGACGAATTCATTAATTAATCTATCACGATGGTTTTCAGGGGGGACCACGGGGAGGTCGACCTGCTTGGGTATATTGCTAGCATTAGGGTTTCTTAGTTTCCATTAATAACAATCTCCCAACAACAATGGTTAGATCGATACTAATAGTACTCAAGCCTATCATACTGTTAAGACTTTTTCCTTTTATACCCCATAAAGGTGGCGAGGGCTGTCAAAAATTTATTCTCATATATTTTTTTTAATTTTATTTATAATATATGACATATTATATGTACGACTGAGCGAAAGAGAGCCTACATTCTCATTGCGATATTTGTTGCTTGCAAGCCCTGATTTAGCACATAGAATACGACCCTTTAAAGCACTAAGAGTGTTATTTAATAATAACATTTAACTCCTGTGAATTTAATAATTTAAATTCGCAGGAGTGACAATTCTACCCGGATTTTCATTCTTATGCCATTCATCACCATCATCATCATCATATCAGCCGTTACAGACTGTCAATTACATTAGCGAAATTTTACTTACTAATATCCATATATTTGATCAACCAGTACGAATCTAGATTACGGATAAGTTTGAAGTCAGGTTGTGTCTTGAAATATATAGCTTGCAGTGCCAATTTTAGGATACAAATTACCAAAAACATACGCATAGGCGCGGGATCTTTCTGCGAAAAAAAAATAAAAAAAAATTATAATGAAATAAAACAAAGTACACTGTAGTAGCAAGAGAGCCACCTACAAGAACGCAGCTCTTAAATAGGATAGATAGACACTAGGATTTTGGGACAGGCATTAATAAGAGCAGTTACCTTAACTAACTATTATAGTTATGGATTAGGTAATAAATATTAATGGAAAGTGGTAACCATCGTCTATAGACATGAGTAGCACCATGAACATAACAGAGTATACTGTTTCGCCCATGATGCCTTGCCATTCCTGAGGACTCAGGTGTTATTCCTCTGTACCCAGTAAATTCACGCCATATCCCACTCTTCAAACCGGAACACAGCCATGCAAACACAACTGCTTTACAGTTGAAACATTGTCCAATGGAATCCAATGTATAGATATAAGAGAGGCACCAATATTTCCCATGATAAATACTGGAAAATTCGCTCCGTAACCCTTAGAAAACTATTAGTTATTTCAAAGATATATTGTCACACTATTTTATGACTTCGCAATAAATATACCAACAGTTAACAAGGAATGGGACAATTTATATATTTTTTATTGACTATAGGTAACAGTTACAATTTTTCATCAGGCGGGCCGTCAGCTTGTGTGCCAAGTTGCATAATATTTTTTAATTTTTTCACAGAAACTCTAATACTCGTAATGAAACAGTTTTGAGCACCTGAATAGTAAAAATGAGGCGCAAATTAGAATTTCTTCAAGCAATTTAATTTAACAAAGATGGAAAATTAATTGTTTCCATTACTATGTTCATTAGTGCTATCTTATTATATATAATTAAAGTAATTTTAATTTCATACCTTGTGTAGAGCGATGACGTACTCCTTAACGAATTTAAACCATATTATGTTAATGACAAAATTCAATATGTCCACCAGGTATATATGCATTATGCCAGGGTAGCATTTGGGCTCATCTATAATTGGTGAATATCCATCGTATAAATTGTATCGGTTCCGTAGAGTTAGTGGGAATGGATAGAAGCCATGCGTCCCAATATTTAATACAAGTAGAATTAGTTCCATCCATGGCCAGTTTATTTTGCTTAACTGGAATTAAAGTTTTTTTTTAATGGATGATAATGAAATGGTACGTGGAAAAAACGTACACATTTGCCCATAAAACGGAATGAATCCCATTAATGCATGGGATACTCATGTAGTATCCCATGCATTCATGGATATTTATTCTTATATATATAGTATAGTACTCTACATATGTGTGAATGTACACGCAACAATAATGATTCACTGTTTCTTACATTGTTTAAATGAACTGGATTTTATTAATTTTATTATCACAATAACAATTGTAATTAAAATGAATAAGCAGTTATATTTAGCTCGTTAATTAGTTGTTTATAGTTAACTCAAGAATGTACTTTTAGGTATGTTCTCCACAGCTGAACAAAAGCCTATTCCTAAGGGATAACTCCATCTATAAGGAAGGCTATCTACACCGTCTTTGCCTATACGGGGCCGCCACTCAAGAACCTTTCTTTTCCATCGATTGACGTGTATCTTTAATTAACTATAGCTTTCTTTCAATAATTTGAACGATTTATTGTTTTATACAAGTATCTATTTTATTTTTTGCTTAGTAGCTTTTACCTGCGATTTCGTCTGCATGTTTACTGAATAAAAAGTAGACTATGCCCTTTTTCATACCATATAGATATATACCAAATTTCATAGTGATCAGTTAAGCTGTTAAGACGCCAAGAGGTAATAAACAAGCTTACTCTCCCATTTATAATATTAGTAAAGTTGTTCTGCTGTTTCTTACGTTATATAATGCAATTAAAAGTGAACTAAAACTATATACTCACAGAGTTTTCACTAACGTCACATTGGAATCCATTAGTTATTATGAACACCACAGTGACTTGAACGAACACATCGATGATACTCACAAACTGTAAGAAAAATAAATTTCAAATCTTTTAATTAATATAATAAAAATTAAACTAGAAGACTTCTGTATATGAGAAATATTTAAGAAAAAGTAATATAAGGTATCTATATTAAAAAGACGTATAGAATAAGTTTGCCAGTTCGTATGTTTTTTTTTTAATAAGTGAAAATGGATTGGTAACCCCGCCCGCGCTATCGGTATACACCGACGAGGCACCAGTGGAAGATGTATTAAATGAAGTCTATTAAAGTACACAATACCTACATCAAATATAGTGATAATAATTTAATTTTGGCCGTAGGTATGGAATGTTAAAACTGACTATGATAAAATTTATTTCCGTTACATAAATTTTTACTATCAACATTAATAAATATTATATATCAAAACAAACTTTTGCTTCTGATTTCATCTTTATAAATCCACTTTTAAAAGTCCATTTTTTAGAAGTAAATGACTATAAATTCTAGATGGCGTATTAAGATAAAACATACATCTGACTATAAGTTTCATTGTATGTTTTTTATTACAATATACATATATAAAAAATGTATTATATTATTATTCCCTCATTTGTAAAAGCGTTAAACCTCCAAAAATCTTATTTAGCTATTGAAATTTTTGTCCTTTTCTTTTACCCTAATTTCTCAATTTTAAAGACAGTGACAAAACACTCCATTAGTTAAAATAGATCTGTAGGGCGTTTTAATTTATACGATTAAGAGTGTTAGTATTTAACATATTATATAATTTTATAAAAATTTTAAAATTATTAAAATTTTTCGTATGTACAGTTACACACACATATCACATCTTACCAAATTAATGTATCCAATAATAAAACATGGGATACGGAGGTTCAAATTGAAATATCTCGTTGAGGTATTCATAATATATCTGAAACAGATAAAATAAAGGCAAATTAAGAATTGTGGGAACTAGGAACACAATTGTAAATACGACTGTACATAATGTATAAATTTCTAATGAATAACATTTGTCAAATCCGGTATAACCCAATAATCTATACAATATTTATGAAATTGATAAAATACCTAAAAAATTTAGGTTTTGCACAATTATTCATTAAGCTGTCACTAAAAATTTGGATTTTGATGATAAAAATGTATTTGAAAAACTACGCAAGTAAATTATGAAGTAGGTGGAAAGTTTTTAGTGATAGATTTATATACAACATATTTTATAATTAAAAAAAAAAGAAGAACGATATTAAATATGAATGTGGGTCGCTATAAGCTTAGATGAAGACCTAAAAAGACATGGATGGACTGTGTGAAAGATGATATGGCCATAATGGGAGTGAATACAAAAGGTTTTTTTTTTTATTTGCGGTATAAAATGTATATATTATTATATTTCATATAATCCTTTGTTGAATAATCTATATTTTATATCCGGAGTTTGTATAGAACGGAAATGATAAAAACTACGCACATATATAACACATATTTATACCACGGAATATATAAGTATGTACCTAAATGTTTGTTATTTTTTAAAAATAGTTGCAGATAAAATTGCAAAATAAATTGTAACAGAGTGGTCGCTATATTGAGTGGTTTTTATGTAGATAATGGATCATCGATGAGGCCCTCCTTCGCGATTGAGCTCTTCGCAATGCGTCTCCATCTACTTCTGCTCACAGCCGAACGAGATTATTGCACAATTGACTGCTGTGTGGCCGTTTTGATGAGGCCAGTCCATCGCATTGGTGATCTACCCCGAGAACGCGTGCCTTATACCGACCCTTGGACAATTAGACGCTCCATACAATTTTCATTCCAGATGATATGGCCGAAGTACTTGAGAATTCGTATTTGAACAGTCGAAGATGATCTCTTTCTGATTTTCAGTCCGTTGAGAATAGAAACATAAGTTCGGAGAGCAGTCCAAGGTCCATTTGCAGCAGTCGTCGCCAGCACCACATCTCTAGAGCACAAATTTCGGCGTTCTTGTTGTCTGATCGTTTAAGTTTTTGCACCATACAGGAAACTTGGAAAATCAAACACCTCATTTTATGTATTTTGGTGTTCTTTGATGTTACGGTTCTTCCAGACTTTATGCACTTTACTCACAGCTGTTTTTGTGGTAGCACATCTTCTTATTTTGTCCTCACACTCTCCAGTATATATTCCACGATAATATCTCTTAAATATATAAGATCTCTAAAAAACTCAATTATATCAGATCGATATAAGAGTTAAAACAGTTTGATTGTGAATAAATTTTTATAATTTCTCTTAATTAAATAATTATTAGTTTATACCCGTGAGTTCGTTCGCGTAACTGAAATATGTTCATTGACCAGCTTTAAAAATAACCTACATATGTCATTCTCATTCCAATATAGTACATAAATACCAAACTTTATAGTAATTGGTAATTATAAATTAACAAATAAATGTTAAATAAATAATAAGTGTTAAATAAATAAATAAATAAATAAATAAATAAATAAATAAACAAACTCACATTGACATTTATAATAATGTATAATATATTATACATTATTGATATATTGGGTATTAAAGGAAAATATCAAGGAAAATACACGACAAAAATTAATATAATTACACGCCTTTGTCTCTTAACCTCTCTATTAACATGTTACTATTTATTATTTTTTCTATATGCAATAAATAACTCATGCTAAAATAAAAGGAAGGTAAGGAAATTAATTAAGACAGTGTTATAATGCCTCTGTACCCTGTAATTTCACTGCCATATCTCATCAAACTTAATATACAGTAATGCAATCATAGTTGCTTCGCTGCAGAAATACGAGTGGGACAGAGGTTACGGGTACCTTTGGCAGATGACTTTATACAATCTCCCTCTGGTAAATAAAATTATAATTACCATTAATAGATAGATTGATAGATAGATACTCTTTATTGTTTCCTCCAAAAGATTACAGTAGTACCTAAACTTATTTCTAGATAAAAACAATTATAAGAAATGATCACAGTGAAAAAACAATGGGTGGCCTTATCACTAAAAACGATTTGTCTAATACCAACTCGTATAATACCTTCCTTTTTGTGTCGACGTATTCGGGTAAATACAATAAAATATACCAAAAAATAATAATAGTAAAACAGAGTAAAAAAGTCAAGCGTAGAGAAGGGCATATTTGGGTAAAAATAAGAAATGACATCTGGCAATCCTGCTTTGGAACACTTGCAGTGGTAAAAACAAAATTTATTTAAGTTTCTGACCAAGGAATGTCCTAGCCTCTAAGATATTTTTTTAGAAGTACATTAGAAGTTCGTTAATGAAAATGGTCATGAGTCACTTCAAATACCTTTAACATTAAAGAGTAGTTTAGTGTAGTTAATTTACGATTACACGGGTGATGCACTATATAGTATGGGCTGTTGTGTGATTCACATCAATTCAAATGGCCTCTCCAAAACAATCCACATAACAAATAAGCCTATACACTACTTATCTTACACTTCACTATCGATATTTTACCTAACGCAATTATAAAAGGCTTAAAATAAACTTCACAATAATATATATATTTGTGTACTTTTCCTAAGCGCACGAGTGCGAGACTGTAAAATGTTAGTCAACGCGTAGTGATGTGTAGCTATTTTAATCACTAGCTAAATAACGAGTATTGAATATATAGTCAAGGATAGGTTATCCGTTGTAAATAACTAACCACAGCTCGTCATTTGGTATTTTTCATCCTCGAAAAATACAGCAGAATTATTTAGTTATTATAATAACGGATAGATAAATTGTGGTAATATTTATTGTGAACTAGCACACCCGACAGACATTATTATGTCAGAAGATTTGACATAAACAATTGTTTGAAGTGTTTGAATTAATAGCTAGGACAGTTTGTACAAAAATTAAAAGGGATCGTTTCCAATTTCGACTTGATAGTGTATATTTTTAGTGATAAGCTTTTTAGGCCTAATTCTCAATCTTTTTTCCCTCGGTGAACATGGCCAGTTGGTCCATCGTAATAAATTTTCGAGGAATTAACTACGATCGGTTTCATGGGTGAGCACATGGAGGTCAACCTGGTATTGCTAGCAATAAGCTCCTTAGTCCTCATTAACAATTTCTCCCCAAGCCTTTATGTGGTAGTCAGAGACATTTATCAATTTGTCGCCGTTATGGCGAACATGCTAGTTAACTTGCCTGAAAGCAACAGGTTTTCAACAGAGTACAGGTGAACTTGAGAACATCAGTAGTAGCGTATTAATAAAGAATTATTCTTATTCTTCTCATGAAAATACACGATTATACAAATAAATTATTAAGATATCAATATTATTTTTTAATTAAAATAAAAAATAGACACATAAATTGTAATGGTGTTAGTAAGTATGCATATACTATATAGCTGTTTAGTAATACATATACAAAAATGAAATTATGTATAATGTTCAGATTTTTTAAATAAAGGGAAAACCCCATCCGATTAATTTACCACAGGCCTCAGATAGTATAGTTACGGATGGTACATCGGTTAATAGTAGCAGCTATTTATAATTATGTTATTATAATAATATTAATCATCTATTGTCGTCAGTTTGTTAACCGTTAACGCGTCATCGTGAACGCGACGAGCCAAGTAATTAAAAACAGTTAGTTCATGTAACGTTCACCTCTACTCTGTGATAAACAGCCGTCATTGGTCATGTGTGTGTCCAACGCTCCATTTTGTCAGACGCATAAAGTTCAAACATAAAATTAAAATGATATAACTTAGACGTTAGTGATAAAATATTCTATTCTCTAATAAAAATAACAAATATTTTGGTAATGGATTAAAAAGAGATAGATAGTACGATGTGGCTACAGCGTAATAAGGATGGATATCACAGCGTTATACTAGCACTATCTCATTTTATTTTATACTGTAATTCCATATAATCTGTCTCACTTACACAAAAACACATTCGGCATCGTAATCATAATCGGAATTCAGATAGTGTGCGCGTACGCTCATGTTGCGCTAGTTTTGAGTAATTAATATATTATGTTTCAATAGATCTTAATAAAAATGTAACCAAATAATAATCGATCCAACTGTAATACAATCTGCTGGTGTAATAGTAACCTATTTCTTTAGGTTATGTGTTGTAAAAAACAAGGCTATAAAATAACGCGTATTTACGAAACTTTTAAAAATAAAGTACATAATTTAAATTTTATTTTTAAATAGAATTCGTTTACGTATAATTGTTAGGATTTTGGTGTCCCTTTATAGTGTGACTTTGCTTGTCCGTCCGTTCAACTCTCACTGCGCTATATTTCAGCAATTGATTTAGATTTTATTGTATTTATCTATTACAAACAATTAGCGTTTTCTTTTTTATTAGTTACACTTCTAAAGCCAAATAGCTAGCGTCTTTTTTCTTTCCTCCTTTACCCAAAGGTTGTTTGGAAGAGATTGCTTTAGCTATGAGTTTGCCTTTCGTAAGTGTATTTATCTTTGTTTTATTCTTTAACTGGTGCAATAAAGAGTAAATAATTAAACCAAATATGTATACATCAAAAAAGAAAATCAAATCATTTCATTTTATAATATTAGTTGAAATTAAATGACTACACGCTATAGACATGGCATCGCTACAACTCTCAACTCGTCACCACGGTTGGCTGAAACGTCTCTTCATTCCCACCTATCATCCCTCACTGGTGGCCCACCAGCGTATACCGTTAGCGCAGGTGGAGTTACCATGCCATTATTATCCATTTAAAAAAATATAAGTATTAAATTTAGTATATTGATACTGTATACGATGTAGAAGGTATGTCATTCTCCTTTTTATTATACCAATCAGTAAATATATCTCGGTCCTGCGGTAGAAGTCGCGGTAAAAATCATAAATCGCTACTATGTCCGCTAACGCGTATGTAACGAAACCTCGGCCTTTATGATCATTTGCATACTTATATGTTTTGTGTTATTATTCTTGGAAATATTGCACAGATGTTTTCATGCGTACCGACAGGAGAGCCCCTATAATGCATCGTTTATATTACATTACGTAGTCGATAGGGAAGTTTTTAAACTTCATACATTTTAATGCGGCAATGTATAAGAAAACATTTCCAAACACACCGATCTCGTAATTGTATGTACCTCTAACAGTTTAAAAGTCGATATTTTGTTCCAACAGAATTTAAAATAAACTTGTTTTGTTTTTATTCAGGATTTGAGTACGCTTACTGAACGTTAGGTATGTGTAAATTTGTTTTTATTCAAAGACTAAGGTGCACCTCTGTACTATGTAAATCACTGCCCTTCAAACCGAAACGCAGTTATGCAGACACAACTGCTTCAAGGTAGAAATACTTACACTATAGTTATAGACAACAGTAAATAGGTTTTGCTCGTGGTTGTATGCTGAATAAACGTCACAATACTAATACGGGCAAAGTCGCGGGATACAGCTTATAATCAGGTCGACCTCCACACGATGAGGGGTAAGGGATTGCTAGCAATATGCTCTATTAGGTCGACCTCCACATGGTTCCTCCTGGAAACCATCGTGAACAATTCTTGTTGAATTCGTCACGATGGACTAATTGACCTGCTTCATCCTTATCTATCATCCTTCACTGGTGCCCCACCGGTGTATACCGATAGCGCGGGTGGGGTTACCATTCCATTATCACTCATTAAAAAGACCTCTACACGATCTCTCTAAGAAACACGTAGAATTCTATTTAAATTTCACGAGTTTGTTACAATGGGCCGACAAACTTGTTTTGATTGGGGGTAAAGGATTGTTAGTAATGCGGGTTACCAGTCACATGTTTTTTTTTAATGGGTGATAATGGAATGGGAACTTCGTCTGCGCTATCGGTATACGTTGGCGAGGTACCAATGATGGACGATACGTGAGGATGAAAGCAGGTCAGTTAGCCCATCGTGACAAAATTCACAAAATTACACGTGGTTACACGATGGTTTCCAGGGGAAATCGCGTGGAGGTCTACCTGATAGGGTATATTGCTAGTGACGGTGATGTTATATTCTGTTTCCTAACAATCCCTTCTCCCCCCCAGCCACCTGTTAGCAATATGTTTCGCCAGACAGAGGTTTCGAGGGAGGACCTCCCCCGAAACTGTCGTGCTGAATTCCAGGTATATTCATCATGATGGGCTAATTGATCAGCCTTTTCATTTTCATCTACCATCCCTCACTGGTGCCACGCCAGCTAACCTTTAGCGCAGGAGGGGTTTTTAATCAATGACAACGTCAAGCCGTTATCATCCAATAAAAAAACATACTGTCATTCTCACAAAATATCTAGCGTTCTAGTGCTCAAATAGCGCAGTTTGGTCACCAATCTGTTATGTATTTATTTAAGGCAAACATACAGCTTAAAAAAATAATTTAACCTTTAAACTTAATCTTGCTGGTTACTCGTGTTTGTTTATATATGAATTTATTATATGTATATATTTATTTATTTAATATATTATATGTATGGTTATATTAGTGTAATTATATGTTTATAATATATAAATATATCAAGTATTGCTTTATTTTTCCTCTATTCAATGCGCCGCCTATTTATTTCTAGGTTTGTCCAATGGTTGACTGGCAGAGAACACCGTCCGCTGTTAAGTCCGCCAAATGTACATAGAATTTTACTGAGCATTAAAGTTTAAATAAATAAATAATAATAATTAAGATAAATACACAATTAAATAATACAACAGCCAATAAGGTTTACACTGATGAAGGAAATACAAAAAGAAAAGAAATATTATTGAAAATTAAAGCATTAAAGCAAATTAATTAATCTTTTTGACAGATAAAATATACGTACCAATGTTACAATTAAATAAACACATATGGCAATACTGTGATTTATCAGACAGATTAAAAAAAATCGCGTTCTAAGAAATGTCCACCGTTTATCATAAATAATATTTCTTTGTAAGCTATTTATAAAACTACCGAACAAACATTTTCTTTCATTAAGTAGTTAACCGAATCGATATCTTGCCAGGTGCGCTCCGTATTGCATTTCTTATACATATATACCTATGGAGATACGGTTAGCCGATGAATATTATATAGCAGGCCAAACGGCCGGTGTTGCTGATTGTAATTTACATTGCAAAATTGTAATTTACATTGCTTTTATGGTAATCTAACGTTTAAAAGCGATCTTGTGAATTTTTTATTCTTATTTACTTCATTGTTTATTTTTTGACTCTACAGCTGAATCTATGTATGTATCGTATTCATAACTAAAATTCTACCCAAGTTACAATTGGTTAAGACACAGCTATTGTGTTTTAATGATAACCCTGCCTGCGCTAACGGTGTACGCTGGCGGGGTACCGGCGGGTGAGAGATGGTAGGTGAGAATAAAAAGGTCTATTCCTATCCCATCGTGATGAATATACCTAGAATTCAGCACGGGAATTCTTGGAATTCCAGAGGGACCACTTGGAGATTGACCTGACAGGGAATGGAACTGATAGTCCGCATTACTAACAATCCCTATACTGAAGTCTCTTGAAAAAACCTCGATAAGGAGCTCTTAATCCTATTAATAATATAAATACGAAAGTTTGTAAAGATGGATGGATGTAAGGATAAATGGACTGATGAATGTTTGTTACTCTTTAACGCAAAAATTACTCAACGGATTTGAATGGAATTTGCTACACATGTAGGTTTTAACTTTACAGATAGGATATATTGATTCATATGGATAAAGCCGCGGGATGTATATAGAACTAGTAATAATATCTTATTTTATCTTATATTCGCATATGGGGTCAGCTAAGCTGTTGCACGTAGACCCATCGGGACCTTTTGTGCTTCCCCCTGCCTTATACCATCATTTCATATATCCTTTGTGTTACCTTAACGATATCCCGCGGTTTAAGATATCTGTAGTCCTCTGGTTTTGGATAAGCTATTCCCAGGAGCCTCATGCGCATTAAAAGTAATAATATAAATACCATTGGACATATTTACATACAGCGCTTAGTTCCAATCTATTGAAAGTAGTCAAAATTATTTTTCGATACAATTGAATGACTAAAAAGTCCATCATAAGGATTTAATCCTTATGATGGACTTTTTATACCTGAAACTACCTAACATTTTAAATGTTAGGTAGTTTCAGGTACTACAAACAAAGTCAATCTGGTCAAACAAATCTAATCTGGTGATAAAAGATAAGACAAATATATGATAAAATAATAAAGGTAAAAATAAAAAAAAAAAACTTTGAATAAAGTAAATAATTCAAATAATGACAGTGATGTAATTAGATTATCCATATGCCATTTCTTGATTTCATTCATGATTATAATCATCATCATATCAGCCTTTAAGTGTTTACTGCTGAACGCAGTTAGGCTTTTGGTAAAGTATTAAGAGGGACGCTACTATCCATCCCTCAACCATTAAGTTGATTTAAGATTACAATAATCTATGATAATAATAATAAATTTTGTATTAGACTTCAAAAAACAAAAATCGAAATTGACAACCCTAGTCGTGTAGATATGAGTCGAGCTGAGTTGAGCGAAATATTTCTTCTGTAAATCCTGTCCTCTGAATACAATTACGACATTTTAACGCAGTTGTACGAACTCAGAAATATTATAGGGCGAAATGTTTTTTTTAGTAAGTAGCTTTTGCCCATTATTTCTTAGGCGTATATTTCTGAAGTACGAAAATGAATAAAAGATACCACTTTTAAATGGCATATTAAATAAAACATACACCAGTTTTCTAATTTGAAATGAACCGTGAAAAATGTAACAGTAAATGTTACTCTATAAATATAAATAAAAAAATATGGGCAAATTCAGAATCTGACCTAAATAATTTACATAGAGTTATCAACATTTTGACCAAGAATCTATTTCTAAAACATTGTCTAAATAAGTAATCTATGCCCAATTAATTTGGCGAGATTCAATTACAATTGGCCTGGATTTGTTTTAAATTGAATTTCTAGACATTTTAGATGGCGCCGCTGGAAAAATGCCAGCTAAGTAGATTATCTGGTCACTGAGCACCAATCTTTCTCAAGGGTGTCGGATAATGCAATTTCTACTAGACAAATTTTCTAATGTGGTTTCGTGTGTTGCATCTCAAATGTCCATGAGACGTATAGACTATAAGAGGTAAATTTTTTACAGGTTTGAAAATAAAGTAACTATATAAATAAACTTTAATATAGTGTAAGTGTGACTATATATAGTTATATTTTAAAATGTTGTACAAAATTTGTAAGTTTGTAAAATAAACCTGTGGCTCACTACACATTTTGGGAGACTGTAAGTGTATTTTCAAATAAATAAAGAAATATAAATAAACTTCGCCGTGTGGTCCTAGCATAGAATTGGCCACCTCTTCCTTTCCCGAGGATGTTGTAAAAGGCAACTAAGGGAATTTAATAGTCAAAGGAGGGACAACAGCATTCCTCTTAAAACATCACCAAAGCCTAACTCTGGGAGCCAACCCGCCTGCCAAGCGTGGCAACTATTAGCAACCTCCCTTCTCCCACCTTATAGGGGAGGCCTATGTTCAGCAGTGGACAGTTAACGGCGAATGGGATTGGGACTACAGTAGTACCAAACTGACCCTGTACAAACGTGAATTTTTAAAATTGGTTGGGAGTGTACCCATTACAAATAAGTGAACAAACAAATCCTTCCTCTTTATAATGTATAAGTATGGGGGGGAAAGGGATTGTTAGTAATGGAGACAGAATCCCATTGCTAGCAATATACCCAACCAGGTCGACCTCCTCGCGGTTCTCCCTGGAAACTATCATGGTTAATTCCTGATGAATTCATCATGATGGGCTAACTGGCCTGTTTTCATTCTCATCTATCACCCTTCACTGGTGCTCCGCCAGCGTATCCCGTTAGCGCAGGCGGGGTTACCATACCATGATGTTGCCTACCTAGATCCCACACAGGAGCTTGTTGATAAACTTGAGCGACTGCAAAATCAATGTATTAGATACATCTATAACCTTCGAAAGTATGACCACATATCTAGTTATCGCAGTCAACTCAAATGGCTTCCTATCAGGCTACGGAGAAATGTCCACATTCTTACTCTTCTTTTCAATATCCTTTTTAATCCAACATGTCCACATTACCTTCAGGAAAGATTCAAATTTCGCGAAATTGATGTTCGCCTGAGATGCAGTAATGACTTCATTATAGATTTGCCTTGTTTTAATACTCAAAGCTATGCCATGTCATTTACTGTACATGCTGCACGTCTCTGGAATTCACTTCCTAATAACTTAAAGATGGCACAGTCGCTGAAATCTTTTAAAGCAGGTATCATAAAATTTTATTTTGAAAATCCCTCTTCATTGAGCCAATTGTGAATATATGTATTTATTATGTATACATGTATGTGTATGTAGGAGTGTATATATGTATGTGTATGTATGTATATATATATGTATATGTATGTGTGTATATGTGTATATATGTATGTGTATGTGTATAAGTTTTTATTTATTAATGTTATATTATTATTAATTTACTTTTATTATTTACATATGTAGGTATATAGAGCTGTTTTTATTGTGTTATATATTCAATTTTTTTTTTACTGGGTATTATTTAGTTTATCTTTAATTGTACGGTTATTACCCTTATACATTCTACAGTTTTCTTTCAGCTTCTCAAAGGTTGACTGTAAGAGATCCCTTTATGGGATAAGTCCGCCATTGTATACTAAATCATTTACTAGTATTTAATCTGACTTATGTACAATAAAGATTTTTACTACTACTACTACCATTTTCCCCCATTAAAAAAAAAATGTATATGTATGGTATATATTTATAAATAACATTTATGTACATACATATATAGAAGTCATATACATACCCGTATTGGTAACAATGAAACTACAAAGTTGCCAAGAAAAATATATGAAGTTGTTTGCAAGCTTAACTCATGCGGAATAACAAATGCAACAATGTTTCTATTTGTACGATATTTAACCTTAAGTTTGCCGAAGATTATTAACTTCTTATGAAGTCGTATTTATGATAAAGACTAGTTGTTAACCATAATTTTTATTCATTATTCATGACCATGATTCCCGTATGACTTTGATAAAAATAGCCCATGTTCTTCATTTCAAATAGTGTATACCAAATTTCATGACGATTGTTCCTTATTATTGAACATAAAATTTAGTTTATGGAGAATGAATAACGCCAGATGTGCTATTGGTAAACGTTGGCGAGATACCAGTGTATGATGGTACCCATATGTGAAGATGAAGGTTTCCAGTAAGATCTTATTAAGATCGAGAAGATTGTTTTTTTTTTTTTGGATGATAAAAGAATGCGCTATCGGTATACATTAGCAAGGTACCAGTGAGGGATGATAAGTATTTTTTTTTATACAACTTAACGTAAGGATGAAATAGCTCCATTTGCCCATAGTAACGAATTCAACAGTAAATCAAACATGATAGTTTCCAGGGTAAACCGCGTAGAGGTCGACCTGATAGATATTGCTAATCTGCATTACTAAGAATCCCTTCCCTTCCCGACCAAATTCTTCCCCTCCATCAGGAAGAATCTATTTCGTTTACCCTATATTATTACAACTAAGTAGATTCTGTCAGGTCTACCTCCATGTGGTCCTCCCTGGAAACCATCGTGCTGAATTCCAGTGTGTTCATCACGATGGACTAACTAACTTGCCTTTTCAATTTCATCTATCATCCCTCACTGTTACCCCGCCAGCGTATACCGTTAGCGCAGGCGGGGTTACCATTCCATTATTATCCTTTAAGTAATTTTTTTTATACCACTGAGGTGGCAAACAAGCATACGGCACACCTGATGGTAAGCGGTTAACGTAGCCTATGAACGCCTGCAATACCAGAGGTATTACGCGCGCGTTGCCGACCCTGAATAAACTTCTTTACCCCCCTTTTGAAGAACCCCATGCTGTAGTCTCTTGGGAAAACCTCGGCAGGGAGCTCATTCCATAACCTGAGTGTTCGTGGGAGAAAGCATCTCTGAAACCGCGTTGTACGCGACCATTTAGGCTGTAAGGTATAAGGGTGAACTCCCTGTCGATGGCGAGCCGTACGATGATAGAAAGTATTAATAAGATAATTAGAAAGTAAAAATAGATTCCGCCATTTCCTTTTTTTTATATTAAGACCTTTATAATGGCAATAGCTAGTTTTGATATAAACAATTCAGTCACA